AAGGGATCTTTCGCCACACCGCAAAAAGAGTGTCCGCGTCAGCTGAGGGTCGTTGCTAAGCACCTGCTTAGCTGCTACGAACCCTAGGCGGAGTCTTGGGGTGGTGGCGGGACTGAAGTGCTAGCTAGTGTACAGAGCTTTTCATGCAGTCGGAGCGAGTGTCTGTGTATATGGTTGACATGTGTGCTTATGAGGGTGCGGATCCCCCCGCCCGTCGACCTACAACTTTGCTCTCGAATTTTCCTTGGCTTGGCGAGGGTGGCAGAGCAAGTTCGCCCAACTGGTGGTTACCCCACGGGTTTTCTAGAGGAGTTTGCAGCCCAACATGCCGCATGGCCGCGGATCGCGGCGCACCCTTAAACGAGCTGCCCTTTCAGCCGAGTATCGACGAAAACTCACGGACGCTGGCCAATGGTTGTTGGGTGTGGTCTCTGATTTGGGTGGTTCCTTATCCCCCTCTTCGTCGCCTCAAATGGTGGATAGATGGCTGGAAAAGGCAGTGGCGGTGAGCTATGACAATGAGCAGGGTGAACGATGCTATTGGGTGGTGTTGGGTGTGTTGAGCATTCAAAGGGCCTTCAACATTGCCGGCCCGCTCCTCAAGAACACGTGGATTCAGTTGCGGGGTTGGAGGCGACTGGAGCCTATTAAGACAAGGGAACCTATTGCATACCATGTGCTTTCGGCGGTGCTTCTGTTGTGTCTGGCGCGGGGTTTCAGCTATCATGGGAGGTTGCGGGCGGAATGGTGGTCAGTGATGATTGGTTCCTGGCTGGCTTTTGAGGGCCTCCTCAGACCTGGAGAGGTGGATGAGCTAAAAATTTCGGATCTTTGTTTCCCCGAGGCCGCTGAGCTGGGCCAGGGCATCAGTTTAGTGATTGGCATCCGCAGCCCGAAAACCAAACGGGTCTGGGCACGTCAGTTTGCTTTGGTTCAAGAACGTCCTTTGATATGCTGGCACAGGTGGTGGGTTGCTGATCGCCCCCGTCGTCAGCGAGTGCTGCTAGTCAATCGGAGACGGTGGGCCATCTTATTTAAGGAAGCTCTAGCTGAACTTCATTTGGGCGAGTGCAACTATACGCTGGGGTCATTGCGGGGGGCGGAGCAACGCATCAGTTTCATCGGCATCGCAATTTAGGCCAGCTTCAGTTTGCGGGGCGTTGGAGTCGCCCAGAAACTTTACAGCATTACCTGCAGGAAGCTTTGTCGGTGCAGGTGGTGGCCCAGGCGTCGGATGCAGCTAAACAGCTTTTGCACCGTGTACATGAACATTCACATTGGTTGAACGGGCCTCCATCTATTCGGCTCAGGCGACTCATTGCCCCAGATCTGGGTTAGGGTGGCATGGACAGCGGCCGGCTGTCACGCGCCCTACGTGAGCTAGCCGCGGCTTTGGACGAGGTGAACGCGGCAGCTGCTGAGGACCCCGTTCTGCGCAGTGGCCTCTCCGCCTCCTCTTCGGGCGCTAGCAGTGGACAACAGCAGCGACAGCAGCCGCAACCGCGCGGTGAGAAAAAGGGGGTCCCTACAGCAGCAGCTCCTAAGGCAACAGGTGCTGCGGCGCGGGTGCTTTCCCTTGGGGGCTCGTCGGTGGCGTATCGCATGGACCATCGGTGCTACATTGTGGTTTCCAATCCGCGGGCTCCAGACTTCGTTGGCTTCTTCGAGGGTGAAGGCGCGGCGGCATGGAAGGCCATCGAGCGCCGACTTCCCCGCGGCCGGTTATCCGGCTCGAGCGTACGCCTGCGGCGCGTTCCCTCCCGCCAAGTGGCGGAGCAGGTATGGCTTCCGCTGACGATGTGAATGTGGCGGCGGCTCCGGCAGACCAGTTGCTCCAGGCGGTTCAGCAAGCGGCTACAGACTTGGGCATTGCTCCAGTGGACTCCGGGTTTACAGCGGCGGAGGTGTTGGCGGACCCACAACGCAGAGAGGTGGCTACACGCTGGCAGCTCACTGTCACTACGAAAGTTCACCAGTGTCTTGGCCCGCATGTCGCAGGCCTCGCAGGCGTGTTCGGGCGTGGCGGCGCGCAACGTGGAACGAGGCCCGGGGGCTGGTAGGCCCAGGCCTCTTTTCCTCGGACACACACAAGTTTCGGCGCCTACGGCTACAATTCTTGAGTGGCTCAGTGGAGGTTTCAGTGTGGGGCAGCTGCGACGCTACGTGCCGCAACTGCGACTAAGGACAGTCGAGGTCGCCTTGGTGGTTCTTTTGTTCCCACGCCTTTGTGCCCTGCTGCTCGCCCTCGTGGTCCGTCTTCTACTTCGAGCAACTGCCAGCCTGGTTTCCAGTCTGTTCCAAGAAGTTTGGGCGCAAGTGATGGGCACCGTGGCCGAGGTTGAGCACAATCTGGTGGAGTGGGTGCAAGCTCAGATGGGCAATTTTCCATAGCCCGCCCTTTGGCCGCTGACGTTGTCACCTGGCTTCTTCTTCTTCTGAACCTGAGGCGCCCGCTCGGAGGGGGGGGGGAGACCTGAAGGTTAAACTTTTGGAGGCTTCCTCACGACCAGCTTCGAGGGTGGCCTTCTCGACTACCGGAAAGCTCCGGAGTACTT